ATTATTTGGATATGGAAGGTTTTATGGATTGTAAAGGGTTTAAGGTTAATGTTAAATAGGTTGTTGATTTGTTTTTGTGATTTTTTTAAAAGGGGGATGATGAAGATTTTTTTGTGAAATTGATTTTTGTTGATTGATAAAATGATAAATAAATTTAAATATAATTTGTAATAAATTTAATTGAATAAAATTTAGATGGTATAGTGGTAATAAATTGATATGTATTAAAAGATAATTGAAAAAAAAAAGGTTTTGTTAAAAATAAATAATAAAATGAATAAGAAAAATTAGGAATGATAAAGTAATCCTTGTGATTTGAAGCAATTCCAACACCACCTCTAATAAATCTAAATAAATTAATACATTTATGGCCAAGGACTCTAGACACTCTGTCCTCCAGTAACAGAAGTTTTTGCTTCCTTTGCACAGTCATTAAAACCTTCCAACATAAGTGATGTTGATATTTATTTTTCTTCATCTGTCATCTTGGTACAAACACCCAATACCATTAGCATTGTATCAACTTGAGTGACACCCATAGCATAGAGGTCACTCAACACATTGCAACATGCTATTCTACCTTATGCATAAGGATTGGCTACTAATGGGTAGAAGTAATCTATAGTTGAAATTGTATGAAAATCCTAAGTTCGCTTTACAGGATAAACAGAAACATCTGGTGTTTCCTTTCCAATATCACCTTCACCAATCTAACCCAAGTATTTCAACAATTATGTTTATGGAACCTTACATCCACATCCTTTTAATTCTGTGAAGTTAGTCATGGCAAAACCTTTAGGTAATCCATAATTTTCAGGTTACCAATTAAATAACTTGGGGTATTTTGTTCCCAGATTTGATGGCTTGATAAACCTTTTCATTTAATATAATTTAAAATTCCTATTGCATCATGATTCGGTATTAATTACCCATTATTTTTATGTCATCATTTATTATATGTAATTACAAACGAAACAACAATTACTTAAAATAACCTTCAAGTTATAGCAAATATATTTAAATATCAATTTTATAATTAGTCCTAATCTCTAAAAAAACAATTATCCTGTTTGAAATATTGTATATTTGAATATAAACAGTTTAATATACATGCATATTTATCTTTAAATCAAAAATTATTATGATATTCTTAAAATTAGGAGCCATTAATTTTATGTTTGATTTAAATGTATTATATTCTTAGTTTACTTAATGGTTTTATTTTGCAAATTGTAACAGACAAAAAAAGTTGTTTAGGTTATATTAGAACTTTTTTGTGAAACTATTTAATGAGTCTAATGATGTATATAATTATTTTTATATGAATTTATTTTTATATTAACTTATTTTTCATAAGTTTCTTCTTTTCTATTAAAATCATGTATTAATTAGAATTAATTTTTATACTCAGTAAGTTTAAAAGTTACTTTAGGTCTGCATTTTTATTATATAATATAATTAGTAAATTATTTCAAAAATGAGTTCACCCTAATCCATAGGTAGTCCAACTCTTCAAGCCCATTTTAAGCCCTCTCTATTTGCTCCGAAAACAGGCTCCCCTTACTCTTCAAATCTAATCAAAAGTATGGAAGTTCTTAAAAATCCTATTAGCAAAATAACCCAGTAGTAACCGTATTAACACTCCTATCATCAAAACAGAGAGAGCAAGGACTTTAAATTTTAGTGATTCAGAATCAAAGCCAGAATCTAAACGATGGGATGCTGTATGTAAGGTAGAAAAATCGATCAACATACTCAGAAAAACAAAGGGAAAAGTTGATTTCTCATTTCAAATTAAGGTAGAAGAAATAATAAATGAAATGATGGTGATCTGTGGAATTGATGAAAAAGTCTCAAAATTGTTTCTTTAGATCAAAGAGGAACGTGAATAAAGAAAATAATCCCAATTAAAGACCTTAAAGTTCATTAAAGGCCAATTGGACTAAATAGAATAATTAGTAAGAATATAACTAATCTTAGAAAAGAAGATGTCAGGAATACTACTGATAACCATAAAATATATTTTCTTAAGTTATAATTACAAGTAACTATTTTAATATAATTAATTCTTCTTTCTCAAAATTAACATTTTAAATGTCACCCATCTAGATATGTACATCTAAAATCCAAAGTCACAAATAAAATATCTTCATTCATTTTAATTATAAACTTATATCATTATCTGATGCAATTATTCTTTGAATACTAGATTCTCTAATCCTAGAAAGTTAAGTTAAATATTAAATTCTTTTGATAATAATCTAAATTTGAAGTGTGTCAAATCAAACAGTTTTTGAGTAGAATTCACCATGAACCATGTTGATCAAATTTGGAAATTGTTGTTATCAAATATATATATGTAACAAATATCCAAATTAATAAAAACTATTAAAAATTCAGAATTTTATTCCATAATATTTTTATGTTTAATTAGAAAAAAGACTATATAAAAAAAAAATATAAAGATGTTCCACCATTAAACATTGGCGATGTGAATAGAATATTGCAACAATATAAAAGTGATGAAGATAAATTTAGAATGTTTGCATCAATTTTAGAAATTTAAAAATAGCACACCACACGAACACATGAAAGTAATACAGAAGAAGTTCTAAGGAAGAATGTATAGAGATTGATTGAACTTTATGGAGACATGGATATTAATTATGATGCTCTCAATAATATTTATAAGAAAGTTGATGAAAATTAGGACATCTAAACTTAAATTGAAAAAATTGAATATAGCAATATATTTTAAGGAGATATGAATTCTTAAATAATAAGCGTACAAAAGTAGATTGATAAATATGATCATTACTTGAATGTCATCTAAACTAAGCTTTCTAAAAATGTATTCACCAATTACTCTAGTTATCTCCAAGCTCTTACTCACATTGATTCAATCGGAAATGTCAGTTAAACACTAATCATTAAGGTTAAAGAGAGCAGAGAAAAGATGTAGAAAACATAATAGACAGTGATAAAGCACAGCAAATAGATTTTGGAGAAAAGACAATAAATACTAAACTTATAAGTAAACGAATAATATTATTATAGCTATTGATAGAAACGCTAAAGAAAGTTAAAGATCAGTATGTTTTGCCTTACGAAAGCTTTGTGCTTAGTATGTAGAATGGATATATAGATGCATCAACCTACCTACCTACAATTATAGTATTCTTTATTATATATATAGAATATTGAAATAAATGATGGTTTCTAATTTATACCCAAAAATTATAAAGAGGATAGGATTGAATACGTTAGAAAATTGACATGTAAAGGGATAATCGATTAGTTTATCAATTATGACGAAAAAATATACAAAATTCATTATGACTCCTATCTTTACATGGAAGTACATCTATTAATTAAAACAAGAAAAATAATATAGTACAACCTTATGATTAAATAGTTCACATCCTAATTTTGAGAGCATTTGAAGCTAAATTATAGATAGTATTTGATCAAATTAGTCAAATTTTATAAATAGACTTTTATTTTGACAATTTAACAGATTCTTTAAATTAGATTTCAAAGGAACAACTCACTGAATTTTATAGAGAATTATGTTGTCAAACGGTTCATTTTTTTATGAATTTTCATTTGATCATAAGATTCCATATTGAAAATACTCAAAATTCCTAAATTATTCAATTAAGAAAATTAATTTATGAAAAAGTGTTCGATAGAATTTGTGATTTTATTGATTAAACAACAAGTTGGCCTCGAATGAACAAAGAAGATATGATTTGCTTTTTTGGTATGCTTACTATTTTGATTTCTAAATGTGAAGTGTTTGGAGGTTAAAACCTTTAGAAATACAAAACATTTATAGAGGATAAGTTTAATAATTATTTAGAGACAAGAGGAAATGATAAGCAAATCAAAGAATCACTATTAAATGAAGATTGTAAGAAATGCATGAAAATCACACTTAATTAAACTTAAAATATTCTACAAATAGCTAATAAATAATCAAAATTTCACATTTTTGATTATACAGATCCACTTCCAGATACATTGAATATCTTCAAATCGATTGAATACAAGAAAATAATAGATTTAATTATGGGTACAACTGTCTCTATGAAAAAATAAAATAATACATCTAGTTTAATTTATTAAGGGAAAGAAAGAACACTCTTATTGACATCAACTGTTAGTTAATTGTACATTATAATTCAACAATAGCTGATGTACATTCATTTCTGTTAATAGCATAAAATAAAATTAGTGGAAGAATTGATCTTCTTAATTAACTATTATATTTATACTTTAGCTATTCCTATGATATTAGATGAACATAAAAGATATATTTTTGATGATACGCTTAATTTTAATTATGACTAAAAGTAAGAGCCAGATCAATATACATAATAATTTGAACACATTAGTTATGTCATCCTCTATAGGGAGAAATATGTAGATTTGATCAAATATCTCAAAAAAATCCTCATTCCAAAAGATCTTAAGGTTAAAAAAACCTATCAATTTGATTTAATGGATAGAGTTGTATACATTGAATCAATATTGTTTCTAATTAATGAATTTGATTCAATAAAAGATGTTTTTACTGAATTTTAACCATTTTACTAAGAATTAAACTCAATAATAGGATAATTATAGGATATTGTAATTAGAGATAGCATTAATAAAGAACCTTATGCTTCATTAGTTTTATGCAAATATGATTTGAAGTAGAATGATAAGGAAGATTAATAGAGGATTCAGTTGATAGACAAAATAATATCGACAAATGAAATTAAATTGCAAGGTTTGTCTTAGCAACAATTAACAGAAGTTTAGACAATATATTATGATGAAATCATCTATCTATTTGCAGTTGTTTATTCTAGAATTAAGAAAGTTAATAATACTGGCAGAGAAGTTATGTTGAATGATTATCAAAAAGTCTCGAAAACCTTTAATGTTGAAAATAGTTTATACGAATCCTTTGTAAAAATTCTTAATTCAACTTAAGCAGAGACGATTATTGAATATATGAATAATCATTAAGTAATTTATTCAGTTTTTAATATTAATAGAAAATATTTCCATATAAAATGTTGATGGGCCTATTTAATGCTTAAGGATTATAAAATTGTAAGAAACAACTAAGAAAAGATCAATTGTTTAAGATCTTTTAAAACTACTAGCAATGAATGTAAATAAAACTTGATTGAGTATTAAATATAAATCAATTATCTTTATATCTATTAAATAACGAGATTCTTTACATTTAATCAATTTCTGATTAATAAATTTTGTTGTCTTAAGACTCATTCAAGCTTTTAAGAGATACTAATTAATTTAATTGAATATTATACTAGCATTTATTTTTTTAAAGCTACTAAGAGGATCTTTTGTGTAAAAACTGTCTAAATTTGTTTCTTCCATTTTTGAAAATGAAGGCTTTTTAACTGATGGCAATTATCTAATTTAAATAGATGATGATTTATTCTCCGATATGTCGGAATCAAAATCGATTTATTCATTATTCGTATTTTAAACTCTCTAGAAAGGAGAATCTGCTTCAGATAGTTGCCCTTCGGTAGTTGGTTAGAAAATGTTACTTGAATTATTAGTTTTAAGCATTTTCGATACTAGATTTTAATTTGGATTTAATACTGTTTTATTGAGATTAAGTTACTGGACAAATAAAAAAATCAGATTCCAAAGCTTGTTTGGCTGTGATTCTTTCTAAAGGGTTTTTTGCAAGCATTCTTTTTAATAATTGTTATGCATCTAAAGGAATCATATCCATGTCACGTCCATCTAAAATGAAATTGCATTTTTTATTCTAAGCCAACACTTCATTGAATGAATTGCCATAAAATAAACTATGTCCAAATAGTAATTTGTAGAAGATACACCCACAACTAAAAACGTCACAAACTTTATCGTATTTTTAATCTCTATCAATCAAATTGAGAACCTCAGGAGCTACATATCCAGGAGTTCCACATTTTGGGAATTGGTATTTTGAAACTTCAGTAAAGGTGGACAATCCAAAATCAACTATAATAAGAGTATCATATTGATCTTATTCACGGAACATGATGTTATCTGGTTTTAAATCTCTATGGATGATATTATTCTCATGTAGGATTCTCACGCCTTCCAGCAGTTATTACATTATGATTCTTACTGACTTTATCGGAAATAATTCCTTCCTTTACTAAACAACATAATATTAATTATTTATTACTTTCCATAATTCCATTTCCTCTGCTAAGGTTCTTCCTTGCATTAAATCTAATATTAAATAGTAGGTGTAGTCGCCTTCAAAAGTTTCATACAATTTTATGAAAGGGGCATTTATGCACTATTTATTAAGTAGGTTGAGAATTTCAACTTCATTCAAAAATGCTTTCATGCCAAATTAGCTTTTCTAAAGATAATGTTTATCAATAGCTTTTGCGGCCAATAAAGTTGACTCTGATCCAATTTCTTTTATTTGGATCACTTTGGCAGAACTCCCTTTGCCGAGATTGTATTGAGCCTCATAGAAGTCAGAAATCTTAACAAATGTGACTTTATTCTTAATTTATTGTCTTATACTAACCATAATGGATATTTGATTACATGTGTAAGTCTTCTGTTTTACCAGTAAAATCTTTGAATTTGCTCTGGTATCTGATAGTCAATGCTTTTATTATAAGTTTATTATCTTTTTGTTCTGTGATCCATCCAACTTGTTGACTCAATTACAAAAATAAGACATATTTCGGTTTTTCATCCTTAGGTTTCTATATATAGTGGGGATTCTTACTGTACTCATTAAAAGGTATTTATCTAGAACATAGCAGTAATACTTCACGTCCCGAATGAAATGCTTACGAAGTACAACACATTCAAATTAAATTTTAGAGTAATCATATTAAGATGTCATATACAATAAATTAATTATTCATTTAATTGAACTAATAAAGTTATATTGGCTGCCATCCATTTCAGAGTTACTATCATGTATTTTGAACGCACTTGTTTTTCTTCTTCGCATTAAAAATTTCTTTTTAGTCTCTATCCTTTAAACTTCTCTTTCAATTTTAGGGATTTTCAATACTTTTTTAACTACAGGTTGTGAAGATCTAATTTATTGCAAGACTGGAGAAGGCAATCTTTTTTCAGTGCTTCCCAATTATAAAAAATCCAAATTAATATTTCTCTCCAAGTCTTTTTTTACTTCAGTTAAATCATTAAAATGTTTCTCATATTGTAACAGTTATCTCATAAAATTATTGTTCTTCTATTCAGACAACTAAATCAAAGCATTTTTGATGGATGGAACCTTGTCCAATATGGTTTCAAAACATTCCCTCTTAACCATGTAGAGTTCTGATTGATCAGTAACTGAATAGACTGAGTGTGTTCTTACATTATTATTCTTTGCTTTAGTTATACTGAATGTTTACTTGCATTAAGAATTCCATTTCTCCAAACATCTATCCTGCAGTTATATATTTGATAGTCACAGGTTTCTTCTTCTCCAAATAATAGATATTGCCATATTTCTTTCTTTAAAACCGAGCCTCTAATCTTTCTGAGATTGTGTAGGTCTTCGGAGTGCTCATTCCACACAAAATCTTCTCGAAATCGCCCTTGAACATCTCATTCAAGTCTATGGTCGATGTCTTTATTATTTTGACTATCTTGAACTCCCCCTTTTTAATGATGTATACGTAGTCTAATGGATCCCCCTCCTTGTACACAGTGGCATTCATTGCATATCGTTTTACATAAGCCCTATCATAAAATACCTTGATATCCTGAAATCTCCAGTTGTGGAAGAAATCTAGATTTGCAAATTCTTCGAAATAAGCTTTCTTTAATTGATTTTTGACACTCTTAGCTATAATTTAATAACTCTCCTTATTCAAATATGCGAGATGGGTGTTCTCTATAGCTCTGACAGAGGCTGTTCTGAGTGCATCAGAATCCATGGCTCGTTCTCCAAAAGTCTCGAAATTCGTCAATTGTTTTATCTCATTATCGAATATCGAGGCTTGTGGATCAGATGGATTGAAATCCTTCAACACTGACACACGACCACTTATGATAAAGTAGAAATTGTCTCCTTTTTCTCCTTCTTTAAAAACAAAGTGTCCTAATGGAATATACTTGTGTCTAAGATTCCTACAACATTATTCATGCAAAAGATCGGAACCCAAATTCGCAAAAAAATCAAGAGATCGTGTGGCCTATTTTAGCAGTTCAACATCTGCTTATAATCTCAGTTCACATGGCTTCAGAAGTATAAAAATCATTATATCTATGATGTCTTGATAACTGTACTCTCATGATTACATACTTAGAAAAATCCCTTTGACTCATCCTCAGATCGATTTTCTACAGTACAGTCGATGCCCTTCTAATCTACTCTGTATTAAATTTTAGTCGTTTAATCATATACTATATTAATATATTAAATTAATAACTCTAATAATCAACCCATAGGATATACAGGATACTCTTTCCTTCAATCAAAGGAATTAACAAATATAATTATTTGAAACCATAGAAATAATTAATTAGAATATCATGAATTTAATTCTAGTATATCTCTTTGTCTCATTCAGACACTAAGATCAATTAAAAGATTACATTAAACAAAATATAGCTTGAAATTAGAATTAGTACTTTATATATATTATTTTCTTATTTCTTTAGATAAAAATTAAAATCAATTCAAATTCAAAATTCTCCAAAAAGCTTATTGATATTGGGAGTCTCAAGCTCTAAACATGAAATGCAAGTAATCCCTTAAGAGAATTCACCATTAATTTATTGTGTCCAGATTTTTCAGTTAATAAATTTCCATTCACTTATAATTTTTGTTTTCAAATATAGTCCAATCAATCTGAAATCAAATACTCTTCTGAATTGAATGGCTGCTCAATTACACAGACATTGACTAGGGAAGTGTTCAAAATTTTCAATAAAATTTATTTAAAAAACATTTTCAATATAGATGTGCATTTCTTGCACTTATTTCATAGATATCTGATGTTCCAGATGATTGATGCAGGATTCTGAGAACAATTCTAAGAGAGAGAGTGTCACTTGTTTGATCATGATTGGATGATTATTGGAAAATGAACGATTGGGAAGGAAAGGCCAGAGAAACCCAAAAGGACCGAGATTTCATGAGTTGTGAGAGTGTTGGACTTGAATTTCCATGAATTGAATAAAATTAAAAAACATTGAAATTCAATGATTTTCAATAATATGAAATATTGATAGTATTAATTCGGGTAGCAGAAATATATTTTATAGTACATAAAACGCTCAAAAATGTGGCTTCATTATGTACATATAAAAACCCTAGAACCAATTTGTCTTGGGCTGTTGTAACATTATTAGCACCAGTTTGATCTAAGAATGAAGTTCTAAACTGTTTAGTATTTAATAAATCCTGATATTGAAATTTTTGGTGCAAATATTTATTGCATTAATATTAATTTTAAATAATATTTCTTTTAGACAGAAACACTCTCTTGAATGTTCAACACTTTAAACCTTAGTTAATATCTTCACAGTCAAATGAATAGTAAGAATAATTAGATAATTAGATTCTATGAATCCTCAAAATTTCACTTAACCTTTAACCTCTTCATAACTACCAAGACATGATGCTCAAGAAATGATCCAATCAGTTATTAATTAACCTGAAGAGGAGATGAATATTGAAAAACTAGTAAATATTATTAAAATTCCTAGGACCAAAATAACAGCGGAGACCTGGACGGAATGGTAAAAAGGGAAAGCTATGCGTGCATTCCAGCTTAGTAGACCATAAAACAAGAGTTTAAAAGGGAATCTCCACATGTAAAGATAAGTGTTTATAAATAACATCAACTGGCTAGTTAAAAATTTTATATCCTCCAAGATGACAAGTAATTTCTCTCATTTATTCTTAGAATCATCGGCGGAAATTAAGTGCATAAAAATGAAATCTAAATTATAAGAAGAAAGAAAGCTGAAGATAACAACTTGGATTTCGGTATTAAACAATCCCTATATTTAAGGTCTTTCTGGTTAAGAATCTAATGTTGAATTAATCCCCTGCAAAATTTTAACTAAATACGGATTTCTCTATTCGAGCAGGATCACTTCTGAAATTCTTGTTCTTCTTTCGTTGAAGTACTTACCACAAGGATAAAGTTTGCATTCTAAAATCGCTAAATTACCCTCAAATGTGTTCAGACTCATTCATCAATTTATCAAGTAGTTTATTATTATATTTTCAAGAGTAAAACCAAAATTCTTTGTTTAAGATTGTGGAACCTCTCTCAAAACATTGGTTAGGATACAAAAAGACAAGCCAAAAAGAATGCAATTGAACAACAAATACTTAATTGGATCTGATTTATACTTCAATGTTGTTTAGTTAATCTCAAATCCAAAATCTACTCACAAACAAAACTTAGAAACTGATAATGATTATTTTTTCTAAACTCTTGTTAGAGAACATGCAAGAGATAGATCCAGAATACACGGATTAACCAAAGAGGAACAGGAAATGTTTTAATGTATTGATATTTGACATTACTTTTTAGAATACCTAAAAAATTATTCTCAATCAAAGAAAAAGGGAAGAAAACTGTATACTCTATTGAATTGCAATCGCCCTTTTCTTAAAATACAGTTTGATACTCCCATTGTCAAATAAATGGCAGTGTTTATTGCAAAAGAGGGACAATAACAAATTTTTAAAATTGGAAGGTCTCAGGATTGCGACATCATAGTCAATATCAATACAGTTTCCAGAAAGTAAACATAAATCAAATTCAACGGAAATTAATGGGAAATATGTGATGGTGAGGGAGTAAAGCAATCTGCCAATGGAACTTGGTAGTCCTTATAATAATATGATAATCCTTTAAGTTAAAAATCAAAGTAGAGCATACCAATTCAAATAGAAGATAAAATGGAACTCAAAATAAGTGAAAATATTTTTAAATTTGAAATGGTAGGATTTGGTATCTCGAAAAGGTAAGATATTTGTAATATTTTATTAGAAGGAAATTAAATAACTCATTATATAAAGAGCTAACTAACATTGAGTAATTATGAATTCATTAATTATTTTCACTTAAAATCTAATTTATTATATCTTTTGAGTATTCAACTTTGTAATAACTCATAAATCTTTTGATTGAACCATTCCATATAGAGTGTTTCAAATTGTATCTAATTTTAATAGAATTACATTATTTTTTATATGGGAAAATTTTCAAGAAATCAAAAATAGAATTAAGGACTTAAAGTTCGCTTAGAATCTAAGTTATAACTTGGACAACTAAAAGTTTAGATTAAAAAACCTGAAATTAAAAAGCCCGAAATTGGTAAACCTCCTGGATTGAATAAGATATCAATGGCGTAACCTAAAATCTGGAGTACTCAATAACGAGATATCAATATTATCGAATTTCTTATTAATGAAGGTCGACATTTCCTACTTCATTTTGCTGGAGCAAAGAAGAACTTGAAGAATGAATAAAATTAATATAAAAGGATGCTCAAATAAGAGAAATATAATGAATAAAAATCTAATTAACCTTTATATGAATTCTTAGAATCCTTTTCTGAAAACCATCTTGGATAACCATCGAGGAACAAGAAAAAGGAAAGGATAGTTGTTTTTTTCTTTAGAAGCAATTGCCTCCACAATCTAAAAAACAGATACACTAAACAGATGGATATATAAAATGAGAATTGGATTAAGATTTTGAAGGAGATTAAGTTTATATTAGATGAAACCTTTTACACGGAATTAATTGAATTATTAAAAAAATTAGAAGAGAATAATGATATTAAGTGGATTACAGAGTAGTTAATACAACAATTTAGTGAGACTGATAATTTAAAAGACATTTAAGTTATATTTAAAAATCTTTTGATTCAAATCTTTAAGGGACGTTTGGATGAGCATCTATATTGGGATAAAGTCTAGAATCTCCCACCAGATTAAATATTAAAAATTTACAAGGAAAGAATACCTCACTATTAACCATAGATTATGAAGTTTGTGAAAAGTGTGAAGACTCTCTTTGATGGAGAATCAAAAGATAATAATCAAAACTTTTAGTATCAAGATATCGAGAAAGATCATTTTGATGATTTCGATTATGAGTAACAATTATTCAAAGACTACTCCGTTATAAATTTTCATTCAGAAGAATTCTGATATTTTTATTTATATCCATCAATAGTATTCATATACAAATTTAAATAATTAAATTATTCATGGCCTAATAATCCGCCGAATTCGCACAAAAAGTTGATGACTCTCATAAAGGTTAAGACGACGATAAAAATTAACCTTAGGAAGTGAAACAATAAAATGAAGAGAAAAATGAAGCACCAAAGACAGAAAACAAAGTTCCTAGTTTGTTTGGATCATTGATCAATGGATAAAATTTATTCACTAACAATTAAACATCTTCCATTTTTTAAGGAAGTTTGTTTGGGTCAACCTAGCCAACAACTGGAATTTTTAGCACAGGACCTCCTGTTTTAGGCAATGCCAATGTAGATCTCACAAAACCAGGACCATCCTTGTTTGGTATTAGTTACACAGCACCAAAGTCAGATGATAGCGAGCCAGGAGAAGATGATGGTATCAATGACTTATCTATTTTATAGGATAAGATGATTAGAAACCAGAGGATGATGAACCATAACAAATAGTAATGAAATATGATTACACTTAAAACACAGATCAATTAGTAAAGGTAATTGTATTTTTATGATCAAAGGTCAATGTTGAAAAGTTTAGAAAAAATACAAATGATATTTTGGAGAAGGGATCTGTTGCTATTGAAAAAACAAAAAATGGAAATGCTTATTATCTTGTTTATAGGTATGTTGTTTTATCTATTTGTTAGAAATGCAATTTAGTAATCATTTTATACTGGGTAATTTGTCAAAGGATTCTCAGAGATCAAACCCTTGGGATAGAAGCCAGAAAATTTAATTATTAAAGCTATCAGCAGAAAAGAAAAATAGTATAGAAGATAAGATGAGTAAGGTGAAGATGAAAAGAAATCAATATCTGTTGACATATTAAAAGTAATGTTCACAACCAAAGAGGGATCAGAAGAGTTTAAAACAGAGTTTGCAAAAATATTTTAATGATATTACATATTAAATGAATTTTTAGGATCATGGTTAACAGAAAAAGCATTAAACGTTGCCATCCATATCATTAAATTCAACATTAGGAAAGTTTTTCTTTTTTTCCAACATATTTATGCGCATTACCTCAAAAAACTCTTGGAATGTTAAAGATTCTCTGTTTCCAATTTAATCATTTAACTTTGGAGCATCATATGAATCTCTGTATAATTTTCTTAGAGTTTCAGTGCTAATAACTCCATCCTCAATGTATTTATTAAAAGAATACTTTTGGATCTAGAGAATTAAAAACATTTTTGATGCCCTCAATTTCTTATTCCGTAAGACCTGAGTTTTATTGGCAAGACTATGAAATGTCTTAATTACAAGTTTGTGTAAGATTGCTATTTCCCATAATATTAATGATTATAATTAGAATAAAACTGATTCAAAATTTAGTTTATTCACAAATATGATCCAACTTCTCAGCGTGTTATGGATTATGAGTCATCGTATTGCAATTAATTCCAAACCAACACTATCCTCTATTTTTAATTTTATCAGCCATCTAATCTCTAATCGAAATACGGTATCTGAAAACTATCTATTGCCAAACTAAAGTGAAGCATTGATTGCAAACAGGCTAATAATGATAGAAAGTAAAGAGATACAGTTTCATTGAGAATGAGCATATCGATTGTTCTTTTTGGATCTTTGTGAGTACGCTTTCCTTCTACATATTTGAATCCCCCTTTGCTAATATGATTATCAAGCATATATTTGAAGATATCCTGTGTTGTCAAACCTTTCTGTTTCATGTAATCCAGAAATGCTTACAATTCAAATTGATTTTATCTAAAACATTGAACATCTACATTCCCAGGAACTGCATGTCTTTCAATACGAGCATTCGGGTTCTTCTTGCTCAATTATTAACAATTCTTATTATAGAGAGTGCAAAAGTAATTTTCACATAATTGACATCTAAAAACCAATCTTTTTTCATTTAAATCTAATTGATTAATTTATATTAATTACCAAATTTAGGCATTTTGGATGCACAATTACCACAATTTAAATGTGGAACACTTCTTCTTTAACATTGATATCCATTAATACTTCTAATGCATGTGACACAATCTTTTGTAACAGGACCATCATCTTCTTCAGCTGAGTAATCACTGATATGATTCTACTTATGTGTTTCTGTTTAAATATCTTATTAGACAATAGGAGCTTATTATTGTGCAGCTGGCCTACCTCGTCCTCTAGCTGGAGCTACATTGGTAACAGGTTAAACTATGGGAATTGGATCAGATGAATTAAAAACAATTGCGTCTCCTTTGATTTTATTCTTTGACTCCATTTCTTTATATTCTTCAGCTGGTCTTTTTTTATCAGGATTCATCAAGAGGTACCTCTCTACAACATTATTCACCATTGAATTTTTATTCACAGATTAAACATCTTTACGACAGGATGGACAAGTTTTGGATTTAGCCATCCAATCTGAAAAACAAGCACCACAAAAGTTATGTAGACATGGCACCAATGAAACGCATTAAAATATTAAATCATCACAGATTGGACAATGCATATCTTCTTACATATCCTCAAGCATTTGAATTTTTTTCTGTTGTTATTCATCCAATTAAACCTCCACTTTTACTTCCTTCACTGATTTGATGACTAATGTGAATCCAATTATATCTGTTATGGGAACTTTGCTTTTGTGTAATAAATAGATCTCATCCCCATTCTTTAATATAATTTCATTGTTTTTCCCTATCTTTTAATCTCCTATAAATGTTCCATTCGTTGATAAATCTTACATCTAAGCCAAGTTATTAGCGGAGTCCCATTTAATTTTACAATGTAGTCCAGACAATCTGCTCTCATTAATCACTATTTTATTGGTGTCCAATCTTCCAATTGTTATCTAATAATACAACTTTAACATTACTTCTTCATCATACAAGTCCTGTGAATTGAATTTGCCTCCATTCAATGATATTAATTTTCCCCAAGCCTGTTAAGCATTATTAACATTTGGTTCATCCAAATCTGGAGTTCCTTGCATTAGAATTTAATAAGAAATTAAAAATTAAAATAAAATTTATAATTATTTATAGTAATATAATATATACTTCATCTTTTCTTGGTTACCACTACAGCCTACTTAGGTAATTTAGTATCCATTATTTCATGTTTAGGTCTCTTTATTGAAACTCCTTTCTTGTTAGCCGATGCAGTGTTAACCTTCACACTCTTTTTTGGTTTAATAGAATCCTATCCTTTAGGTGAAGTGGGATGGTTTTATGACTTTTCTTACAACACATCTCCATTCTCTTATAATTGAGTAATTCCACCACACTTTTGCTCCTCATTATTCTCAAGTAAGTGTAATTATCCAAATTAAGCAGCTATAGATCCTGTTACATAGTATTCTTTCATAGATTGATTTACTGATGACTTCACAGATTAAATGTTAAATTCCCCGCTTTGTTTTTCTACCTTCTTAGGTGATTCCTCAAATTAATCTCGAGGTGAATTCTCATTTTTTTGAGTATTACTCTACCCTCCTTCTAAATATTAGAATGATTCTTTATGAACCTGTAAAACTTCATCTTAAATTTTATATGTTTCTTTGTTTATTTCCTGCAAATTTGTAGTTTATTCATATTAGTTCTCCTATTCTTCATATTATTCAACCTTTGGTTCATCAACTTATTATTGAATCTGAAATAGTTAAATGAATGATTAATTCAATTCAGTCATAGTTGGTCTGCAATTCGGATCTGCCTCTAACATTTACTTTACGACATTCTTCAACACTTATCCATTTCTCACTCCAAAATCCTCTATCATTGATTATATCACATCTATCATATATATAAATTTTATATACCTTCATTTATTTTGTAATTCTATTTATCGTATATCTCTTGAATGTTACCACAACCCCAAAACTCCAAAGCTATCAAACCTAATTGGAACACTTCATTCTTCTCGTGATTATATTAAGGTCTGAGCTCCTTCGCTCCTAAAGCAGCAAGCAATTCTGGTGATAAATACCATAAACTATCACCTGACAAAATTCTTTTGTAATGATTATATCCAGTTAATTGAGTGCAATTGTTCAATTTTATCTAACCCTATATCCTTTCAATTAAAACATGATCTGGTGTCAAATTTCCATGGACAATGTTGTGTCCATATAACTTACTCAAAGTCTCTGTCAGACCCTTCAAAACAAATAAACAATTTATTGATGCCTATTTGCAGATCTGTCTTAAAGTAATATCATAGTATTCAAATAAGGCAGTGACTTTATAAAAAGTACTACATAAATTGGTTTCCTCCTGGGTGTCAACCTCTACCAACTTTACTAAATGATCAATTTCATTCAGCGATTTAGTTTCATTGAGTATCTTACATAAACTGGTGTACTCTTCATAACTCTAACAAGTCTTTGAAATCATTGCGTATTATTTTGATTAGGATTCAATTAATTTGAAGGATCCATAAATTTCATTTTCCTTATAACCCAATATCTTAAAGTTCTTTGATTAAACAATTCCTTGTGCCACAGATTATTCTGCACCCATTTAGACAAAAAAATATATATAATAATAATTAATAATTTTAACAGATAAATAAAAAATATCAGTTAAATAATCAAATAAAATATCTTATATTTGGTTATAATTTTGGGCATTTATTTCTAAACATATTCATTTCCATTTTTAGTGAAAACCTTTGAAGGTTCAACATTATTTATAGCAAACATAAATTTTATTAAAAATAATAACTTATCCAGCTCTCTTATATATGTGATAATACAACGATTTATATTTTGATTTATTTTTTCATATGAATGATGTCTAAAATTATTTCATTTGACTATTTAAATGTGAATTATTTTGATTTAAATTTTTACAATCTATTTTATCTCTTTGTATATATATTTAATCTTGTATCCTTGATTTTTTTATTAGATACCTATTTAATTCAATCTTATTAATATTAGTTTTAAATTTGTGAGATATTTTTACTTTTTAGAGAATATTTGATTCATCCTTAAGTAATTTAGAGAATAATAATAATTACATTAAATAATGGGAAGCTCGCATTGTTGTTCTCTCTAATCAGATGATAAATCAGAAATTGTTCTTAAGATTGAAGACACTGAGAAGTCGTCCCTAAGGTCTTCAAGGAAATCTCCAAAAAAGTAACAAGAGTAATGTTTACTCCAATTTAAGGACTCCTTCGCAAAAGGAGAAACTACTAGTGCATCCAAATAAATGTGAAGATCCTGCAACTCCTGGATTTGCAGATTTACAGTCTTTCGGAAGCAAGCACTCTGAATAATCCTGCAAAGACATTTAGCTTGTTGCAGAAATTGTTATGAATTTAGAGGACATACCAAAGAAGATAGAAGAAGTATAGCAAAGTCCAATCACTTCTTAACGATCTTTGAAGAAAAGAAGAAAGAATGACTCTCCTCTCTGCGATTTTTAACCTAAGAATTCCTTAAAATCTTTCGATTCGAAGAAATTAAATAAATTAAAATCGTTATCAGAGCACAGAGTTAAATTCGAGGAGAAGAGTGATAACGAAAGCAATAGAAGTAATAGTGCAGACAATAAATCTGTAAAAAGCATAATGAAATAAGAATTAAAATATAGTTAATTTCGAAAGATGCAAACTCTAGGGGATGCAGAATCAAGAAAGAAAGTCCACTTCCAACTAAACAAATGATCTATTTCATACAAAATTTCTTGTATGTTATTTTTCCTTAAAAAATGCATTTAGAAAACTAATACCATATTATAATAAATATTTAATATTTCCAACAACAATTTATATTATTTCGATTTAATAAATATATCTTTATTATCAACCTAAACTTCTCAATTTTTAAATATTGGGACACCTATTGATTATTAATTAACTGATATTTTTTATTAGAGCCATATATAGATTTTAACTATTCCTTGAAATCTAGTTTCTCTATTAAATGATTTACAATCTTTGTTCAATCATAAAAATGCAGTATTTATTTGAATTTTGCATGAAAACTATGATAAATCTTATCAGTTGAATTGTTGGGGCATGATAATATTAATATATTTTGTAATTGGCTATGTTAGTAATAGAAAAGATCACGATGAAATTTTCTATTCAGACTTAAGAATATCAGGTATATTCAACTTATATTTTATCTTAAAAACCCAATCATTAATTCTAATTTTGGCAATATATATGATTAAATTTGTTGTAATGATTTAGCAACTGCGATTCCAGAAACTTAATACAATTTTTTCTTCGAATTATTATTTTCACATAAAATTATTTAGATCAATAATTGTGAATTTAATTAAAGTTGTGATAACAAACTGAGAAATGGCTTTTTTGATTCTCTATCATCATATTCATATACGATACCTCCAAATTGCTCTTGATATTACTTTTAAACTTTTTAAAATCTAAACCTACTGTTTTTAATTTTCCTTCATCATAATTGTCTGCTTGAAATTTATTAATTCAAAGCAAATACGTTTTTCATCTAATGACTAAAATATGAGCTATTTACCCAGTTTTGACCATAAACCCTTCAATTAATTGAAAATTTGATTTATTATATTCTCAAACTATCTAATTATATTGAAGCGTAGGCGTATCTTAACATTAATATCTATTGTTTTATATAATTTTTGTAGCAGATATTATCAACACGATTCAGTGTTTCAATTAAATTCTTAAGTATTTTAGAAGTTTTTCAGATAGAACCATTTTACAAAGATAAAATATCAATTTTCTTCTAAGGTATCATTCTTCAAATTTAAAAGTGTTTTCTTAACTTTTTTTGTGTTACGTGCATACAGAGTATTTTACTAAATTACTATAGTAATTTTAAGTTTATCTTTGATTAAGAACTACCTTCTAATTAGCTTATCAATTAAAGAATCATAAATTATGTTATCTCTTTCATTAATATTAAATTAAAGTTATGAAAACCTAAACTGTCAACTCACTGCATCGTATTTATGGGAAAAAGGAAAGATAACCTTAAAATTAGCAGTATATTTAATAATAATAATTCGTCATAGGACATACAGTGAATCAAACTAAGGAATTGGTCATAAATTTAAAACAAGCTCTGGGCTTGATGAAGTATAAATGCTTTAGTAATAAGGCAGCCCAAATAATTATCAGGGCCAAAAACAAACAATATTTGAGAATGATTTTTATAAAGTAAACTTATAGAATTATTTTAAGAAACCCTTTAAACCATCTGATTTTAAGACAAGTTCTTTATTTAACCCTTTTAAAAGACAATCTGTAAACGAAAATTATGCAGGATTATAACCTTTGTCAGAAAATAGAGTAAAGATTGGTGGCTCAAAATCCTATCGATTCAGAAAGCAGGATGTATTGCTTACATTTAATAATATAGAATTGGAAACTTTAGAATTGGGAAATAACATCTAGAGATGAAGAAGTAAAAGATGATGAAATTCAAGAGTAATATATCGATAGCCAATATCAATAATCACAGTAAGGAAATAGTTTTATTCAAATTAGACAACTCAAGTAAAAAGAGGATGAGTTAAATAACTTCATCTAAAAGACAGGAGATGAGATGAATGATCTAAAAAATTAAATTTAAGAGCAAGAAGAAAAAATTAATATTTTGAATAAAAAAGCAGAAAAAGAAAAAGAAGTTGCTAAAAAAATGAAAGATTAGATTAGTACCCTAAGTTAAAAAAATAATAGGCTAAAGACTTAGTTACTATAATAAAAGCTAACAATTGATTAATAAATTTAGAAATTTTCAGTAGCAGAATAAGAAATATCTGATAAAAATGACGAAATAGAAAAATTACTATTTTAAATTAAAGAAATGGAATTGAAACATAGAAATTTGTAGATTTAAAATGAAAAAATCGAGTAATTTAAAGCCAACTTAAAATAGTAAAATTAAGAGAATGAATAATTAAAGGAGGAGCTAAGCAACTTAAATTAAGAAAAAGATAATTAAAATCAAATTATATATGAGCTAAATTAACAGAAGGAAAATTAGTGTAACATAAATCTAGAAAAAGACCACATAATTATTGATCTAAATGAGGAGTTAGAGAATATGAAAATTAATTTTGAAACATAGAATTAAACAATCTAAGAATTAACTAAGAATTATGATTAATTAAGTCAAAATTATGATGCATCCAAATAGTAATTAAATAATGAAATTAAAACAAAACAAAATGAAATTATTGATTTATAAATTGAATTAGATGTCCTAAAACTTGGTGATACTATTATAACTGTAAATGTGAAAAGTTTTAGTACAAATGTAAGTTAAACCTTCTAGATGTTATTAAGGGATAGTATCAGTGACCTTTACATACTGGCTGTTTAAAAAGGAATTCAGTATTAAATTATTTATATCTTAGCAAAGGATCACCTTTAGATTGTTGTTTACTTGTGCCATCTAAAAATATCAAATATGCTTCATCTGAATGGAAATAAAGATTTTAAGAAATTTTCATACCAAACGATTACACTAATAAAACAATAACACTAGAATTTTGTTAGTCTAGTTGATCTGATAAAATTAAAATTAAAAGATATATCTAATAATAATTATTATTATTACTTTAAACTTATTCATAACTTAGAAATAACTTATTTAGAAAAATAATATTATTAATTTTTAATTTATTCAACATATTTTTTTTCTGCAGTCTTGATCATAAACCCATTCATAAGTTTACATGTGAATTTCGTTTTGAAAAAGAAATAATAAGCTATGCAATTTTACCTTATTTTTATACCTAAAGGAGGGTTAAAATAATAATTCATTGTATTACTAAATTGAAACATAATTTCAATATTTTGATATTCTTTTAATATTGCACACATATCAGAAAAGAAGAAACTTCAGACTTTTATTCAGAAAACAGGTGATCTGGGATCAAAAAAAATATAGAAATAGCACAATAGGCACTCACCTTAACCTATTAATATATAAGTTCTATATTTAATCTAAGATCGGAGATTCTAGCTTTAATGAAAATAATAATAATTGGATAAAAAGCACATCATGGAAAGTGCATACTATTTCAAATTGAATAAGAGTCTATTTTTATTCTTAGAAGTTGAACAGTATAATAGGCAAGCATAAATGTTTAATTGAGTTGCTTACTTCTACCTCTACTTCAGTAACTCTTTGTTGTTTTTTATTCTTTCCTTGGTTAGTATATAGTTTTTCACATTAATAGTTTAGATTATATAAAGACGCTAATTAAATATATAGCCTAATTCTATAGTGATTATCTTACTTTAGCTACTTTAGTTATATTAATTTTACTTTAAGATATTCTCTAGTCTTTCCCTAATTTCGATAATTCAATAATTAGAATAACGAGTAAAATTGGAGCTTTCATACCATTCGTTCAATATCTTGTCTCATAATGTTTCAGCGAAATGTAAAGGATAAGATTTTTAGATCATAAACTGATCATGTTTTAGTCCTATAATATTAAAAAATAAATGATAAAATGCTACCTCTCTTAAGTTTCAAGCTGGTTATTTGCACTATCTATCAATTTAGCATAGCTCAAATTTGAATGATATTTCCTTCATACAAAAAGTAGAATATCATAGGACAAGTTATTCTTATTATTGGTTTTATTTATTTGACTAAAAACATTATTAAATTAAATTTTATTTTCTAAACCTTTCCTTCGCTAACAACTATTAAAAAATTATTGTAAATGATGATATTTAATATTAATTACATATTTGAGGATTAGTGAATGAAGATCATCGCACCTTATATTAATAAATAGATTCTCATACTTTTTCAATAAAATAATTGTAAATTTGTATTATAAATAAATTTTATAAAATTCACACATATGATTGAGGAAAATCAAAGATTACTTACTCTTAATTCTCCTTACATGTCAAGGAAAAGTCTTTATAATCTCAGATTGTATAGTGATATTTAGAATTTAGATTCAATAACTAAGTGTCGCATCATAGAGCCAGTATGTCCAATCTTCCTGATCAAGAAGAACTTACAAATCAGCTGAATGGCAAAAAGGAATAGAATAACATTTTGAATGAGGAAAATAAAAAGCTAAAAACATAGATAAAATAATATGAAGTAATTAACTAGAATTAAAAATAGAGAGACATCAAAAGTTATGAAGAATTGATTCAAACAATGCAAAATAAAATAAATTTCAATATGATTGCTAACTAGCGAGATTAACCCTTAAATAAGAAGGACAATAGGAATCAATTTTTTTAAAAAAAAAGCCCCATATATGAAAATAAATAAAAGATTGAGAAACTGAATACTCAAATCAGAGAGCTTGCTGAAAGTACAAAAGCAAAAAATTTAACTAAACTATCAGTATTAATTATTTACAATTAAATTTAAAGAAATAAAAAAAATTAATTACTGCTAGAAATAGAAATTCGAAATGATATTATAAAAGGATTAGATAGAAGGATTAAAGAGATAGAATAATTAGTTGATGGAAATTAAAATCTTTAGAATTTATAAAGAGTGGCTCAGTAAAGTCCAAGTTTAGAATAAAAATAATAAGAAGTCTAAACTGAAGAGGATATGAAAAAAAAGAAATAATAAATGTTTTAGGATCTTATTGTAATCAAAATATCGAATCGGTTAATTCAGCAATTAAGACCTAACCCTTTATAAAAAACATCAATCATAGAAATAACAAAATAACGAAGCAGCAGTTTTTAAATAAGTAATGAGAGTCAAATTGAACCTAGACGAGATATTAAATCTAATTCTATTATATAAGATGATAATAATGTTATTAAAAGAAACTTTTAATTAATTAAATCAATTGAAGATAAATATGTATAATTGAAACAAGCAAACAAAAAATAAAAAAAGGAATTTCTAGACCTTAAAAACAAATTTACAAATTAAATGCAACAAAAAGAGAACGAAAAGATGCAATTTTCAAATAACGCTCAAATTAATCAAAATACAATAGCAAGGCTAACGACCGATGTTGAAACGAAGAATGATGTGATTACTAATCTAAAATAAATGATAAAAAGGCAACCGTGCATATCTCCTCCTTGGTAGATGTAAACGCCTCGAGTC